TAGATGATGTAAGTGTTTTTTATTCTACTTCTTTTATCAAGCTGTAGAATCTTTTACACAGCTTATAATTTATAACGTGATGTACTCGTGCTCTATAGATTTTTTCTGCATTTGAACTAATACCTCTATAAAACCACTCGAAACGTTTTAAAAAATCACTGGAAGTGTACTTAATAAAATAAGCCTAACTGAAAAACAATTATTTATCGCTTCATACATGTGTACATGATTGCGCATGCTATCCCTCAAATTTCTTAATGGTAGTCCTTTGTAGTAGAATTATTAATTATCAGTTATAACTTCAAAGAGATTTCAAAGAAATTACCTTATAAATTAATTGTCTTAAAGGAAAAACGAAAGTACAATCGTATGAATGATGAAATTCTTTAAAATTTAGTCTGTCAATATAAAAGCTCGTACGATCAATACTACAAACTATTTACATTTCTATTTTACAAAAAAAATATATATATATTTTCATCTATACAATAACTTTTTATTACACATAATTAACATGTTTCTTTAAAATACATGACTTTCAGCTCATTTCAAATATATACGTTAGAAATAGAGTCGTAATAAAAATAAAGCATGTATATATATAACTGCCAAATTTAAAATAATAACACTTATTAAACAATATTCAACTCATACTTCTAACTATAGAACTTAATTCATTCTCATTGTTTCTAAAGAAAAAGCCAATCAATTTTATATACGATACTATTGAATCGCAAAACACAAAGATAACATTTGTTATTATACAAAAGTAGTTTTATGATATTTGACGGGTTAAATTACATTTTACGTTTTGAAGTGCAACTAAACTAAAAGTATTTGGTAATTTTCTCAAAAGAATAACGAATATATTTATCATATAATGTTCAATGACCCTTTCATTATATACGAAGATATCTTAATAATTCTGTACAATAGTATTGAAGACCATCATTATGACTAACATAAATATTGTTGAAATGGGAGATTGTCGATCGCTTTTGTTTGGTTCAGTAACTCTTCATCTTCCCAACGTGTACAAAAAGATGTACAGTTTTTTGATCAACTGTGATCACACTGAATAACGTCCTGAGGCTAATTGTTTTGTGTTCGCCGACAGTGTATTATTATCATTAGGTGATTTCCATCCCCGTACCACAGCACACTTATACGCTGTGAGATGAATATTAATTCTTGATACTAGTCATGTTTAACTTTTTTTTATGTGTTTGCGCATGAGATCGAAATAATTTAGGTACATGATACTCGCATTAGCCACAAACCGAAGAAGGAGACAGTCAGTTTGATTATTTCCCAGTTCAATTAATCTGTCTATACAATTATTTGTCAATAAATAAATGTGGAAATTGTGAGTAATATAAAAATACATACAGCAGAGTATTAACAAATGAGTATTAATACATTTAGCTTTAAAACGGTCAATTTTGGTGGATATGTTATAGGTGTGCATGTGGCAGTTAAGATATAAACTATAAGTCAATAAGAAAATACGAGTACGAGCTATGAAATCAGAATTTAGAACAAAACTATTTAAATTATAACAACATAATATTAATCAATAATAAATACGTTTAAAATATTTTAATTGAAAGTCGGGGATATAGTCTTTTTAACGTAGTAGATGACTTTAGTGTAGTGACGTATTAATATGAGTGTCAGCGGGCTATGACTTCCTCTTAACAATAGCAATGTCATACCTTATAAGAGTGCAACTTTATTTTTTAAAATTGCAACATTAATAATTAAATAGCTTATAAATTAAAAAATTATTTAATTAAAAAAATTACTAGTTGATTACTATTTTAAAACAGTATTACACAAGTTATACATTTTCAAAACATTGAATAGAGGAGAGACACGTTATGACTACTTATATCATTAGACATTTCTCAGTCTCACTTTTCCTTCCACCCACGTAAAAAATATTAATAAATTTTACAATAAAATGGTACTGGCCAGTAATTTTATTAATATCTATTTCATAAGCTAATTAATAATGTATGTTGCTATTTGGAATAAAGTTATAATAATAATAAAAAAAAATTATTTATTACCATAACTTTTAGCTCAACTTACAAGTGTGAAATTGACATCATTAAATAGAAAAAAATGAAATAGTTAAGATTAATATGCAGTCAGGAAATCTTATAATTACTATTTACAGTATATTTATCAGAAAAGCTTATTATTTTTTTACATTTTTACCGTAATAGATAACTTAAATAGAAGTAATAGTAATCATTTCCTAGTAACTTTTGGTGTTTAAAAAGATTCTAGAATTGAAATATGAACTGAATTAATTTTAATGATTTACTTTAACTAAAAAAACCAATAAAAAAAAGTGGATTAAAAGAACTACTCAGTAGCGTATTATAAAACTTGATTATAATTGAAAAAATCCATTGTTAATTCAGGAGACTCAAACAATCATTTTTTTTTTAAATGGTTTAAACAGCAAAATGTGACAAAAAAATTTTGAATATTATAGTCTAGTAATAGCAAACACAAATAGAATAAAAAAAATTTTAAATTACAGAATAAAATGATTAAATTTTGTAGTTGAAACCTATCATATCAAACTTGATTCGTCAATAATTATGAATTGTAATCATTTGACGTATCGTTGAAAATAGTAGGTCAAGTGAGAGCTAAAACCTAAATTATAGTAAAATAATTTTAACATGAATAAGAAATTTTTTCTCACAATTGGTGACTATTGATGGGATCCTTGATTTTTATTGAAGTTATTGAATCTAAATGAGATAAAAATTAAATGAGTTGAAAATTTATTCTTATTTAAAAAGAATTAAGATAAAAATGCAAAAAATGCTTGGCCATACGCGGGTTGGAACCTTGTACCCAAGCGCGTAAGACATCGTTTCCGTTGATTGAAAAAAATGGCAATTTAAGCTAGTTCAAATTTCAAAGCTATTTTTCTCGACTTAAAAAAAGGAAAAAAAATTTAAATAAATTTAACTTTCTATGCTATATCAATTTGATTTATATAATATTTATGAAAATCAATGTACTTTACTTGTCAGGTATTTTAAATTAAAATAAAATACAGAATTTTAATACAAAATTAGCATATTTTTGAATGACAGTAGTCATTTTTACCATGAAGACAAGTCCAGAGGTCAAAGTTTTTTTAAAATTAAAGTATATTACATAAGCTTTAATTTAAGATATATATATATAAAAGTTTCAGTTTTTCCGGAACATTTTCATAAGTTGAAAAAATTAATTTTTTATTAAAAAGTTTCCATATTGAAACCCTCCCTATGGGCAAGTAATGGGTCAAATGTTTACAAAAATATATCAAAGTTATGGCAGTTTTAAGAAAAAAAAATTGAAAAAATGGCGAAATTTACTGATTATTAAAATTGTAAATTTTGGGGGAATTTCCTCCATTTACGGGAAACGAGAGAAATTTTTTCAATTTTTGAGGGTAATGTGATCGACTAGATACGATTTGTGATCTTTTGACGTATTGTTCATAAAAATCAGTCCAGCGAGAGCTAAGATTGAGCGTACACAGACACAAAAAAAAAAAATAATAATAAAAAAAACACATCATAGTAAAATTAATACTTTCTCAGAACCGTATCGAAGCTAAAAATTAGATAAAATTACTACTTATATCAATTGGCGAGTACAAAATGTCTATATTATTTGTAGAGTTAGCAGTAGACACTGAAATGTAATAGGGAAACTATAGTTATATATTTATATATTTAGTTTAATAGCCATATAGTTTTTTGATATATTTTGTAAGTAAAATAATGTTTTATTTTTTCGACTAATGTACTACTCTCAAAGTTATAACAAAGGCTTTAGCTTTTTATTATTAAGTTTTTCATATACTGTTAGTGTATAAAATGTACAAGTGTACAAGAAATTTTAGTTTTTACGCAAGATTTTAACTATTATTTTTATGAATATAGTTGATATAAAAGTTTTTTCTAGAAATTGAGAAATAAATTTGTTCTTAATGATTTATTAAATTAAAAATAAAAAAATAGGCATCAAAATAACTGCATATCATTAATAATGTCGATTTTCCTAAAATTTATTTCACTAATTGGATCTAAAGTATTAACAAAAGAATAAGGTGTATAGGAAAAAGTTTGTTTATTTTCGTACTCAAACAAAATAGATAATTTAAATTAGTCAACAAATTCAAGATCTTTACTACTTTTCTCATTAATATTTGACATTGCACTAGGTAATTTGTTCTCAAACTAATAAAAAAAGGAAGAGTTATCCATTTACTAATAATTTTCTGAAAAATAATATTTTCCTGTAATGAAGTTTATTACAAAACAATTGGAGTAAGATTTATTAGTTTAATTATTCAAATTTAATAAAATAATTCACAAACTTTTTTATTTCAAAATAAGTATAACATGGATTCTTTTAGAGCTACGCTGAAGTTTTATCCCAAATCAAAATTTTTTTATTACATTATGTGACAAAAATTGTGTACAAAAATATAAATTTTGAGAACTGTACAATGTTAATTACATAATTATATATTTATAAATAAGAAAGTCAAGTACATTATTTCGAATAGACCTAGAAAATAATAGTTTATCTTTAAAACGTTAGCATCCCAAGTACAAAGCACTGTTTGTGCTTTTCACTGTTAAAAATATTATACGTCAGAATAATATGGTCAGGATTCATGATCTACCATAAACTGCTTCAAAAATAGTTTAAAAAATGTGAACTAAAATTAGATAAAAGGTTTGCAGGTAAAAATTACCTTCAATTTTTTATTTATCTCATACATTAAAAAATAGTCACAAATAAAAATCGTTCAGAGATAAGGTTACAGGCAATTTAATAAATGAATGATGTGTTACATCTTCTCACTACTTCATTTCAACTGTTAATTTTCAAATTAAACATTGGAAATTAATCATATTAAATATATACGGCGTAATAATAATTTTATAATATTAAGGTTTTTTTTTGTTTAGATGAACAGGATATTGATAAACAAGAGAAATCGCCAACATTTTTAAGCAGGTAAGAATTTTTTAATATCTTAACACTTGTTTAGTTTATTAACAATGATGATTTTTAGTTACTATATTGAAATAAATAGATTATATGATGGCATAATATTAATTGAAACTAATAATAAATGATGTTGTAACAAATTTTGTTCATTATTTTTATATCTATTTTCATATTACATAATGTAATTAATTATGTCAAGAAATATTAAATAATTTTGCTAGAAGAATCACAGTCATTTATCAATATTTAATCTCCAGTGTTTCATAAAATAGTAAAAAACGTAATTTTTGAAACTATAGAAGATATCAAATTGGATTATATTTAATTTTAAAGTAATTAAAAATTATAACCTTTAATATTAAAACAGCAATTTAAAACAGTTTATCTTGTAGTTGATGTTTTATTATACATTTAGGTTGAATTCACAAATGACATTTAGGTTATATAAAAGTTTTTTTTATACTTATTGTTTGAATTGTAATAAATTATATTTAGTGCGATGTTTATTTCACGAGTTCAACTTACAATAAAGAATTAGCTATAGTACATTTACACATGTGTAGTTTTAAATAATAAATTAATTTCAAACCGTTTAATATTGATCTAACTCGGATTTAGATTTGTTTTGAATGAATTAACGATCCATTAATCGATTAATCGAACTTTGTTCGTATTGACTAAGTACTGTAAATTAATGTGTTACTATATTTGTTTTGGTACCTCCCGCAGTTAAAACATGATAATAACATTGTCAAACCATTTGGTTATTATTATTATTGAAACATTCTCGCCTTTTTTTTCTGTATTTGAAATAAAAATGAAAATGTTAATTAATTATAAGACTTGTCTGGTCACAATACGATTAAAATAGTTCCAGGTTAACTACTACATTTTTGGTCATAATTTAAAAACAAAGCCAGTCATTTTTTCTAAATTATATTTTAATTCTTTCTTTTTGCGATTTCTGTTACATAAAGGTAGTTTTCAAGTATTTATGTCTTACCAAATGTTAAATTACACTAAACTTAATTTTTTCTTTTTACAAAATGTAAAATTACACTACATATTTTTGAGGATTTGAACATTTTTCCATTAAAAAATGTGTACAATTCATTTTTTTCCACATTAAAATAATTGTTTCAGATAACTAATTATACTTGTGAAATTGGAAAACGTATGATTGACATCAATTAAAGTGACGCATGTGTCTATGTTATTTGATCAAATAAATAATAACCAATTGATTATTATTTTTTACGCAACTTCAAAGAGACTCGAGTGCGTAAACATATTTTTTTAGGTGGCGAATGTTTTTATCATATGGTTGGATTTTTGATGACTTGATTATTTTATTTTTATTTCTATTTCCTGTGTAGTTTAATAATTCTATTTTTGAAATTAAAAATATTATCAAAATATTTCCTTATCTGCCGCTAATCAAGAATAATTTTATTATTTCAGCATGAAACAAATTGCCTCATTCTTATTTAAACACGTTTAAAAAAATAATGCGTAAAAAACAGGAACTTGATAAAATACCGCATCTTAAATATGTTACTTAACCATTAAGGAAATAGTAACAATTATATTTGTAACTTGACAAATTATATTGCTCATAGTCAGTGGCGAATTTATAAGGGAGTATAGAGATTTTAGGCCCCCAGACTCTGATATTTTTATATTATATAATATTTAGGGAAGATTTCTGGTACGTATTTCAAGTATATCCTATTATTTAAGATCTCATTAGAAAAATGTTGAAAATCCGTTAGACTTTTGTCTTAATATACAAACAGTTAATTAACTAAGTTGTTGTTTAAGAAGTTTGTGTATTATATCGATTGAGTTCTAAATTTTTAGTCATTTTGTTTTTTAAATTATACATATTGTAACTAATTTATGTATTATCAATCACAATAAAAAATAAAATATAGGATTTGTTGTTTTTTGTATTTTACATGGCACCATCAGTAAAATATGCATCTATAAAAACGTTGATGTTTTGACTGAAATACTTTGTTCGTATCCTTTAGATGCCATAAAACCAAAAAATATCCTTTAGTGGCAATATAACATTTGTCTGTATTCCATTAACACTAGTATGAGAATTTATTTTTGACCATATGTCAAAAATTTGTCCATTTGTCCTTATGTATAATTGTACAGAACTCATGTATTTTTATTTTTTAAACCAATTATTAGACATTCAAGCGCTAAAAGGAATTTTTATGTTATTGCTTTGGAATCTTTAACGCCGCCAGAAAATACAACTCTATAGTTTGCATTTAGCACATAAAAGATGTATGTAAACGGTTAATGTAATGATAATTGAATACTATTATTTAAAATTTTTTTTATATGATAATAATGTTTTAGTTAAATTAATTGTTAGATTATGCTATTAAACAAGAATTAGTAGTTTGTAAAGTTAATTTCTTACTATTCAATAGCTACGTCATTTAACTATTCTTTAAAATATGCTGGGTGTTATGTTTAATTAATGGTAAATTTATATTTTACACATTTAATAACCGTAATAGGTATAATGATTGTTGGGGTAGTATTGATTGATAAATGGATATAATAAGAATTTATCTCTTGTGGCTAATACTATATAAAATTAAACGAATTTAAGCTAATATTGTTTAATAATAGTTTAAAATTTAAATTTATACATTTTTGTAATCATACTATTTATCTAACATCAATATTTCTCTTTTAAATTTACTTAAGTGAAACTAGCAAAATTAAAGCTAGAACCAAATATATAGTAAAGATGATAGCTTTTGTAAATATTTAAAATTATTTTTATTTTGTTTGATTTTAAAAATTTAATAATTATTTTTGCCTGTGCAAAATCAACTAATTTATCTTTATTTAAAATCCAGGGAAACAGTAATACATATTTCTGTCTCACATGTTGTATTAAACAGTGATCGTAAACGTAAAATATCTTGAACAATCTTACGATAATAAATTGGTCATAAAATAATTTTTATGTTTACTTGACATTTCAACGGCATTAAGTTTATTGTTACAATAAATTTCTAAAAATTTCAAGCAGTTATACAATAAATAAAATAATAATGTTTACTGCTTGAACAACTCAATTATATCAAAGTATGATGTGATTTTTTTCGCGAGGCAAGGCAATAAATATTACTCTTCTAAGAACCTATTTGTTTTGTTCTTTTATTGAAATATTATTCATAAAAAAAAGTGATCCGTCATTTATCTAAAATGGTAAAATATAACATTTTTTATTTTATCAGTAAGGTAGGGTTTTTGTACTTCAAAAATGTTGATTTGCATTGAGATGCCAGTGAAAATTTAGATTTGTTTTTCTCTATGAAAAATTGCTAAAATCGATGTATTGCATTATCAATATTTTAAAAGTCGATGAAAATACTAGTGTAGTTACACAAAATACAAATAATAGTAAAGTTTTGAAATAATCGAGTTTAACGATTCAATTGCCCTATTACTTTAATATAATTCACTTGAATATGTTATTATTCTACAGTTAAAATATTGTATTAATATTAAATTTCATTAGTACTTTTATTATATGAAAACATTGAAAACTCAAAATCAAATATATTTTTGAGTGACATAGTTTTGCTAATATCTTACTAGTACAATATCAGCTTTTAGAAATTAGTACCAGAATTAAAAAACCATTTATTTCCATTTTGAAACTGTTTATGATTTATTATTAATCTTTGACTATGAAAACGTTTTTTGACTTTTTCATATCTCGATTTAAAGATTTTTTTATTAATTTATAATTAATAGAATAATAAATTATTTTTTATTTTTTGAACAAAAGTAAATGTAATTGAATACACTAGTATTCTGTTTTAAATTAATTAGATCTATTTAATTTTTGATCAAGACTATCAAGATTCCTATAAAAATGAATGATGATTACATACTATTAAAAACAAAAAATTCTAAATAATTGTAATTGTACATACAACTTCTTAATTTGGGGTTACCGTAACTATAAATTATGATCCTCTACCTGTTACATTAGACAATCAAATACTATCAGCCTACTTATTAAAACAAAAAACTGGTTGAAAATACAGTGTAACTCTCTGGAATATTATTAATTAAATGACTAATTTTAATAGACTAAACAAAGGTAGATACTCCAAAATAACTATAGTTATTAGATAATCAATTGCTTGTATCACGTACAAAAAAAATTTATTAGTTAAAAAGTAATGGGAAATATTCTGTCTGAAAATAAATCTTTTATTAATAGAATTCATTTAATAATATTTTTAAAATACTTCAGTTAATTTATCATGTAGTGTCACATAAATTCTTTTTTACAAATAGGATGATGTGAGAAAATTACTTACTATTGAAATATTTGTTTTGAATTTCAATAACAATTTTGATTTATTATAATAAAATTTTTATTATTGAGTTCTATTTACATTCTGTAGATTATACAGTAAAAAATTGGTATTTTATTTAGTGTTAAAGTTTATTTTAACACTAAATAAAATACTAAATAATAATGTAAATATTCCCACTTATTCGAGATACCTAAAGATAAGTAATTATGGTGTTTCAATTTTTAAATTAAATACATATAAATTATTTGTTTAAGTTAAACAATGATTAAATAGTTTTGTTGTTTACTTATAAAGTTATTTTGTTTACATTTTATAACTACAAATTAAAACTCATAAAATTTCTTGAACCTGTTCAGCAAAAAATTTATTTTTTATTTTTTTAAATTGATCTGCAAGATTTAAAACAATAAATTGTAATAAATATGCAATTTGAGTATTTTTAATGCCATGTATACACTTACTCCAATATAATGTTTTTTAGGGATTTTTGTAAACAGAAAAGAAGCTTACTAATAAATTTTATAGATCCATTTCGAAAAAATTAAATACAATCTACCAATCAATGAAAGTTGCTACTCCATTTATTTAACGCCTCATTTTTTATTTCATTATTTTTTTATGACAAACTAAAAAAAC